TCCGCCTCGGTAATTACGAACCTGGATTTGAGGATTCGCTTCTTCTCCATGGATGCTCTCAACTTCAGTGCTTGACGACCCTCATGCACGACAATTGCACCGCTGCTCACAAGCTTGTTCCACTCCTTTGTTTTTGCCGCATCCAAACCGACTCGTCGATCTGGACCAACCTCAGCTTCCGTGAGCTCTTTACGACCCTTTTTGGCTGCAACCTCGTAACACTCCAGTTCATGCTTTTTCCAAGACCAACCATGCGCAAGCTCAAACTCTGTTGTCCCGGTCCACGGTCCTTTCATGGCTGGCGGTGACGAATCGCCGCCTTTCCACTCGTATTCGTGAACAACCTTGCGACCTTCACGATCAAATGCCACAAGACGACAGCGCTTGCTCACATGCTCAACGTCAACTGGCAACTCAAGCTCCTTCGGAATGAAGCTACCACGCATCTCTGAAACATGCACACGCACAAGCTTTTGCCGACCATGATCAATCAACCAATGATCTCCATCTGCCAGAAGAACCTCCAAGTCCTCGTCTTCAGCTTCGCCTCCGGGCACCGGTATGTCCTGTGCCTCAACGCTAACGGCAGGAGGAAACATGGATGATGCACTCGACTGTCCTGCATCAAGCATGCTTGCATCCCGTCGGAGAGCCATGGTCAAGGGTGTCATCATTCTGGCTCGCTTACTTGGCGCCTCCATTCCTGGCTCTGGCTCCCTTTCTACAACGGGCTCGACACTTGGCAACACCGGTACTGGACCAGATCCGACATCCTGAGACTCTGTTGCTCTTCGTTCGCCTTCGACTTCAACTTCACCGATCCCTGCACCAGGAACCGGACCACTGTCTTCTGATGGCATTTCTACCACCGGCGGTTCTGAGTCTGGTGGACACTCGAGTCCACTGATGTCATGATAATTTCCTGCACCTCTGGCACTCACATTATCACGCACATGGATCATGTCCTCAGGCAACAGACGTACCATAGCCTCTTGATCTGGAGAAAGCCGTCGCAGCTGTTCCGGACAACACCGATACACCTTAGTGCCTTTTGCAACCCACACCTTCGACTTGCCACTCTTTCCAATGACAACTGCGGGTCCATGCCAGTGATGTTTGTTCTCAAACCGATTGCGACGCCAGAAATATACAAGTTGTCCTTCTTCAAACGGGCCTCGTTCTGGTCGGCTTCGATGTTCCATCGCCTTACGAATCCTCGCATCTCCGTCCGCATCAAGAAAGGCCTTCCTTGCTGCGGTTCGAATGTTCATGCGCCTCTCAAACACCGACTCACCCTGCGCTAAGGACGAGTTGATAACAGGATCAGCATCCGTGGTGATCATGCCTGGTATTCTAACGTCTCTTCCGAACACATGTTGATGTGGCGAATATCCATCCTTGCGAGACATGCTATTCACGGCATTGTTCACCTGATCAATCAGCTCCTGCACTTCTTGCTTACTTCTAGGCCTCACCTCAAGTTGAGCCTTAGAGTACGCGGTTTTCCAGACATCACCTTTTCGCTCAGCAGTTCCATTTTGCCAAGGTGCATATGCTGCTGACGTGTCACCATAAGTGCCATCCAAGGACAACCCGTGCTCAAACTCACCCTCGAACTCCTTGCCTCCATCACTAAACAGCCGCACAGGAGCCCCAGCCCAGCGTTTCCAACCCTTTCTGTACGCATTTCTCACCACCTTGGCCTGCATACCTTTCCAAAGGGGGATGCACATCTGATAACCCGTAGCCTCATCCACAATGTTCAGAAAATGAAGTTTACTGTCCCTGACCTCCAGCTCAAATGTATCCACGCACACCTGCTGGTTGAACTCAGTAGCTCGGCGCATCTTGGTGACGTTGTGAGCTTTGGGCTTGCTTCAGGCATCACATGTCTCACACTTCAAGCTTCTCGCCAGTTGCAACACTCTCTCGCTCGCATGTGCAGCTTTGAGCAACATGTTCATCCTGGCAGCAGACGGGTGACCTAAGTTCTCATGACAACGACGAAGTATGGTCATAATCTTTCTGTCATCACCTCCGCTCTCTCTTCTCAAGTCTTCCACAGCGTAAACACAGTGAGCAACATGGACCTCGTTCACAGCTTGCTTGTCACGCATCACGCCTTCAGCCACATCCTTCACGAAGCCTCTTGGATCTCTCCACTCTCTCTGATTCAACCAACACTTCTTGAACGCATCTCGCACGCCTGGACTGTTCGTGAACAGTCTCCAGGAGCTTTCATCATCATGGCGCTCCACACTCATCATCCGATCCTCACCCTTCAGTCTCTTCCACTCTCTCACTCTCTCACTCAAGCTGTCGTTGACCTCTTCCAGACAAAACATACGACCCTCGCACAGCTGCTCAGCACAACAAGTCACAGCCAATTTGGTGAAGGACACACGATGTCTGGCATTGTACGTACGCACAATGTGAGC